AGTGCGGGATCTCGGCTGGAAATGACACGTTTTAACCAGTTCCTTGCCGGCTGCCCTGGCCCGGCAGCTCTAGGGGCTCAGCGCAGGGAGGAGGTGCAGCCCCGTGTCCTGGCTGTGCCCAGCGCCTGGACCCCGCGGGGCTGCCCCGGCTCCAGCTTTGCCGGATGCAGTGCATTGTATCTTCAAGGAGTTACGGTCTCGGCGCTCGCTCCCGCCTCGGCCCTTTTCTCTGTTCTTTCCCGTGCCAGCAGAAGGGCAGCAGCAGCAGCAGCGTGGTTTGTGCCTGGCCTTCGTCCCCAGGCGCCCGTCTCCGCTGCACGAGTGACCCGCCACTTCCTCCCTCCCCGGCTTTTATGGCGGCGAGGTGCATTTGTGAAGTTTGTCACCGAAAGCAAAGTTCATTGGCGTTTGGTGCTGGAGCTGGAGCAGGCTGGACGCCGTTCAGGAGTGGGGAGGGCGCTGCTGGAAGCCTCCCCCCGCGCCGGGTTTTAAAGCAGGCGTCAGGCCTGCAGTGCCAGCAACTGGGTTAAAAAGTTACGCGGTGTAATCCCTGCCTCTCGGGGCACAAGCCGATTGCCGAAGGAGGCAGGGAGGTGGAAAAATCCTCCCCGTGTGTTTCAGCACTGCAGGATTGCTCAGGCACCCGGTGGGTCTGGGGAGGAGGGGGAGGAAGGCTCCTGTCCTGTCTGGCAGCCCGGGGCTGAGGCCGTGCCGCTGGCACATGGCTCCCAGGCAGAGGTGGGGGCAGTCTGTCCGCCTTGGCACTGGCCTGACAGGCTCTGGTTGCCAGGTCTCTCGTTCTGCCAGGGAAGAGCCTCCGCTGTGGTGTGCCCGCTGCTGCCCGTGCGGCTCGTGGAGCACCCGTCCAGGACACCCTGCTGTGTCCGAAGGTGACTGTGGGTGCTGCTGGGTGGGGGGCAGGCTCCAGGGGGCTGGGTGCTCTGCTGTGCCGGGCATCGAGACTTGGGGGTTGTCTCCTCTGCCTCTGGAAGGTGAGGGGGCTGGTGACTGCTGCTCTGCCTCCAGCTTGGCAAAACTGATGGGCCTGCTCCATCCTTCTGAGTGCAGAGACGCACAAAAATGTGATCATTTAGGATTCCTATAATGATTTCTGATGGGGGCAGTTATGGGTTAGGTTACCTTTCTTATTGACTAGCACATGATCAAGCAACAGCCATTGTGTGCAGCTTTTCTTGGATTGTTTCTGTTCCTATAGTTGTCGCTGCCTTAGAACAAGTTTGCCTCACGTGCAAGTTTAGCAGTGCTTCTAGCTACCATAAATGCTTGTCAACCTTGCCTTGCCTGAATATTTGCTTTTCCTAGCAAAAACAGGTCCCTCTGTCCCTGTTCTTCCAAGCCACCTATATCTTCAGCCATGTCTTCTGTTAAAAAAGCAGAGAATGCAGGTGTTAATGGAAAACTGCTGTGGAGGCAAGTGTAGCTGTGCCTTGGTAACAAGGTCAGAAGGCTGATTCCTAATCTGGGGATCTGCTATCGCTGTCTGTTGCCCGACCTTGGAGGTTCGCTGTGTTTTGGAAAGGGCTGAATTGCTGGCAGTCGGGGTTTTTTTTAATATGCAGTCGTAACAGGCTTCGGGGGGAGCATTGGGGAATATTGTGCAAGAGAAATCTGATCACCACTACAAGGTTAAGAAGAGGAAAGGAGTGTGATAACGCAGCATCTGTGTGGTGAGACGGGGGATGGGAGCCCCAGGGGACCGTGTCCGGAGCGGTCCTGCCGGTGGGATAACAGAGTGGAGCTCCCGCTGGAAGCTCGCTGCGCTGCCTGAGCAGCTTCCTCCTGGGCTTCCCAGCTGAAAAGGGGAAGTAAGTAGGTCAGGAACGCGCACCTAGATAAATCCACCCGCAGCACTGCCTCGTGCAGAGTGAAAACAGCACTCTATTGCAGAGTCCTGTGTTTGTCTTCCTCGTCTGTAAATGACTACACTTGGCAGCGCACCCCTCTCCTGGCACCGCTTCCCTGCGCTCGCTTCGCTTCCTTGCGTTGTGCGCTATTGGTTGTACTAGAAAGTTGTTATTTCTAGAAGCTTTAAAGGTCTGAAGTTCATGCATGTTTTTTTGTTTGCACTTGAGGAGTAAAACCAGTCCATGGGGCAGCGCTTGGACAGGGCACGAAGGACGAAACCCAAAGCGTGGCTACTCCCAGCGTGGCGGTGGCTTTTTGGAAGCAGGACAGGTTTTCAGCAGTAGTCACAAGGCTGTCTCAGCGTTAGTGTTTGGCTCCCACCTGCTGCTAGCATGTGGGTGATGTCCTGGAGCTCACGCGTGCTCGTTTGGTAGTTGAGCTTTCAGTTGCATTCCACCTTCTTAATGTGAGTGAGTCTGGGACAAGTGGTTATCTGTTGTTGTCCTGACAATCCAGCAGAGATGTGCACACACAGAGGACGAACCTTCCCTCTTTGGGTGGGAAAATGGGTCTGCACTCCCAGCAGTAAGCTCTTTTCTCAAGCTGGAGAAATACCTGCTGTGGTGCTCAGCAGCCGCTGGACTGGCCCCGAGGGGGAGAGTCCCGAGAAGCAGCCACTAAGGTGAGGTTCCCTCCCAGCACAGTGATGCTAGAGTAATGGTGTGGGGTTTTAAAAATAATTTCCTTCGTTCACCCTTCTCTTTAAAGCCTAAAGGGATAGCTCCCTCTCGGGCTCCCGCTGTCTCAGTAGCTTTCTGAAACTTATGGTGTGTGCCAGAATAAAACACACGTACCCGGAGAATTATCGACTGATTCTCGGTATCTGTCTGAAATGTGACTCCTTCACCCAGCTCCCTTCTCTTGAAATTTGAGAAACATGCTCTTCCTGACACAGTTGATGTTTTTGTTGGTGCTGATCTTTGCACTTTGCCTTAGGTCCTAGTCTTTGCTCCCGATTTCTGCGATGTTTGAGTTGCGCGCTGTTGTAGCAGGGTCACCCAGCCAGCTGGGCTCAGGACTAAGCTTCCAAAGCTTTGGCCAGATGGAAAGTTTACAAGTGGGTTTAAATGTAGTTCCCAGGTGTGGAGAGCGCAGCGTGGGTAACTCAGGGTGCCTGATGCAAAGCAGGAGGCATTTCAGTGGCTTGTAAGTGCCTGAGCCAGCAGCTGTGGGACCCCGGGATGCCCCAAGGAACGGCTGCCGTGCAGAAGCCCCAGTATCAGTGCCACTACAGAAAAGCCACAAACTTCTCGGGAGGCTGGAATGTGGCTTGAGTTGTTAGGGTCTATCCAGCCAAACTTTACTGCGGATCCACAAGAGCTAGGAGTGGGTAATTTCCCCACTGGCCATCTGTGGGCTGTTAGTGCCACAGGAGAGATGTCGGGAGCAGGGAGCCTGGGGGCTCCTTGAGAGCTGCAGCCCCCCCGTCCTCGCCGTGTGAGCCAGTGCCCGGTGCTGTAAACCTGCTGAGAAATAAATGCTGTGCTTATGCCTCTACCCACAGCTGGGTTATAACCAATTTGAGTTTAATGACGGCGGCAGAGCAGCACTAACGTTTCACTGTGGGCCCTTATTAAAAGAAGTGCTTGTTGCCCCTAAAGTGCTGACAGGTTCTGGGAACTGTGGTTTCCGCTGGGGAGGCACTTCCCTGCCATCTCCCACCTCCCTGAGGGGGTGTCCTGCAGAAACGTTTCCACCAGGGCCATCTCTGCAGCTCATGCCTATTCATTCAGTCAATTTATTTATATTCATTAAACTATTTGGGTTTTTTAATTTATTATTCAGCTAAAAATGAATTTGCATTTGCTGTACTGACACCAGCCTGCACGCGTTAAAGCTGCGCTGCTCTGAACTTTGGCTGGAGCTGAAGAAATGCTGCTCAGCTTCATGAGAGCTCCTGACCAGGTACTTCAGAAATTATCAGAAAAACATGAGTTACTGATGCTGATGTGATTTGAAAGTTGGTGCTGGCTCCTGAGGCCATGGAGAGCTTTTGGTCCATTTTCAGCCAGTTTCTGCCATTCTCCTGGTGGGTGGCTCCCTGGCACGGGAGCTCTGGGGGCTGTTCCTGGCCTTCCCAGGGCCTTCCTGGGGCAAGGGGTTGCCCTTCTCTGGGTGTGCTGTGTTGGCCATGAGCGAGGGATCACGTGTGCTCTCTGGCTTTGGGCTAGTTTTGAGATTTTAGTGCTGGGGACGTAGCATGTGATTTTCTTCTGCTCAGCACAGAGTTGTGCCCCTTCCTGGCCGTGAAGCCAAGCGTCCAGGGAACTTGCCGAGGAAGCCTGTGACGAAACCTGGGTGTCAGGGTTGCTGCCCAGACACGAAGGCTTTCCCGGGCAGGTCCAGGGCTGGTCGGTTTGAGCTGCAGCTCTTGCACATCTCATTGTGTGTTGGAGAGATCCGGCTCTTCACGTGTCCCCCAGGACACCGTGGCCACTGAAGGGACCCAAGTGGCCAAGGAGCTGCGGTGCTGAGCTGGTGCTCTGGGGGAAGGCAGGAGGAGGCCATGCTGTGACCTGCTTGGCTACAGCCTCCCTGGGCACCTGGGGCTTGCAGAAATCTCCAGCCCTGTAATCCCTGCCTCAGTTGCTGGGATTTCTTAAGTTAGCACGGAGAGAGGAGTGGTGTTAGGGGGCCGTGCCTGTGGTTTAGTGGTTTGTTTGTGTGTGATATGGCAGAGCAGGGGCGAGAGGACAGAAAAATCCGTCTGGGAACTACTTACTGGTCTGCTGCCTGGCTGTTTTGTGCTCGCCTGCTTGGTATGGATGGCTGTGCCCCGGGCCCCAGCGTGCCATAGTAACTGCCCTCGCCTTGTAATTCAATGCATCTCGCTGGCTGGCAGGTTTGGCAGCGCTGGAGGGTCCCAGTGCCTGTCCCAGGCTGCACCGCTGCAGCGCTCGAGGTCGGGCTATTTATAACCACCTCGGGCCGGGGCCATCGGGCTGGCATCCCTCTGCGAGCACGGCTGAAGAACCTGTTAGATCCACGGCGGGTTTCGTTCTGCAGAGCTTCGGCCGCTGGGAGCTGCTCTGGGGCTTCGTGGGTGCCATGGCAGCGTGAGCGTGGCGGGCAGGGAGGGGGCAAGGGCGCCCGGTGGGAGAACTGCTGCGAGCCCAGCCTCCTGTCCCACCAGGACACTGTGGAGTCGGCTGCGGGTTCCCGGCCTCCTGCCACCCTGGGGCCAAGCCGGGATTTCCTTCGGAGCGGGCGGGCGGCTGGGTGAGAAGGCGAGCAGGTCCGGGCTGCGGAGGGCTGCCGCGTGGGAGTTTGCCTGGTGGGGACTTCAGTAGATGTGTGCAAACAGCTCTTAACTCTTCTAACCGGGTGCTGGATGAGCCGGGCCGCTTGAGATCATGGGGAACAGCCTTTTTGCAAACTGCTGCCGGCACGTCACCGACCTCATCTTCCAGCCGCGCAGCTCCAGCTCGCCCGATGAGAGGTCACCCCTCTTACCGAAGCCTCCCGCAGGCTGCGCCGTCCAACCGGAGACGCCAGAAGCTGCCCGCTGTGCTGGGCCCTACCCAGACATCATCCCCAGTGAGGCGGTGGCTGGGAGCCTGCAGAAGTGTCCCGAATACATCCCAGAGGCCAAGGATGAAGGAGGAACGGTGACGGTCTGTGATAAGAGCTGTTTGAGAGCTGGTGCTGCTGGCCCGCTCCAGCCGGCAGAGGCATCCCGGGCGGTGGCTGTCCTTCCAGCCGACCTTGGGGCCGGGCCGGTGGGGCTGGTCGGTCATGCTCAGTCGCTCGAGGCCTGCCAGGGCTGCGTGAAACCTGAGGACGGCGTCTCAGCCCATAGATCCTGCCGCCGGCAGGAGCACGTGGCGGCAGCTGACGGGGGGGATGTGGCCCCCGGAGCACGTCCCGCCAGCTGGGGACACGGCGAGGGACGAGCAGCCTCAGTGTGTCCGGCCAGCGTGCCGAAACGGGGTACCCCTCCCTGCCCGGGGAGCCCTGGGACACCTTCCCCTGTTCTGCCAGCCAGCGCAGGGAAACCCCCGCCAGCCCAAGGGACAGTCGTGCTGCCTGTCCCCCGTGGCGAGGTGTCATCAAAGGCTTGGGACACAAGTTCTGGTTTCGTAGTGACGGGTCCTGCTGCCTGCCCCGATGGCAGGTCAGGCTGGGATCCTGGCTCTCCAGCACAGGCACTGCCCTGGAAGCAGCAGCAGAAGAAGAAGAGGAAGAAGAAGAAGCTCTCACTCCTAGGTGCTCAGCAGCGTGGCATTCTGTCGTGCTTTTTATGGCCCTAATGGGGATGGGTGGCTGCGTGTGCCCGTGGGATGGGGCAGGAGGGAGGAGAGGGGAGGCAGGGTGATGACTGAACTTAACAGCAGAAGGAAAAGGAGGAAGGTGGTGAGATATCCCACCCGGGGTGTGTACCACAGAGGGACCTGTCTGGGCCTTGACCATGTTGGCAAAACAAACGCCAGGGGGGGTTGCTTATTTTTTTCTTAATTCATAATAATCCTTCTTTCGTTTGAGACTGCAAACATGGTCCTTGTAACAGAGGGGTGTGGGTCTGGCAAGCCCAGCCTGCAGCAGTGCCAGCAGGAGCACAGGGTGTCAGGGACCGGGGCTGAGGGACTGGGGTGGCTTGTGCTTGGAGCCTCTGGCTTCCTTCAGCCCCACACGGGTGGGAGGAGATGCCCGGGATGGAGCAGCTCCGCAGCTGCCCTGGGCACAGGGACGGGATGTTCCTTCTCCTTGGCACCGTGGGGACAGCGGGGGCCCAGCCTGTTGCTGCCGCGTGGGAGGGGAGCAGCCGCTCGGCCCCATCCCGCTTCCCTCCTCCTCCTCCTCTCCTGCTTCTCCGTGAACGGGCACAGCACAGCTCCGATGGGGCACCAAGTGGTAACCAATGGAGCTGGAGTGGATTTTGCCTTCGCCAGGACTTCTAGGACAGGAGAAACTCAGATTATTATTTTTCAAGTCTCAAGGTCAAATTTTGCCTTTCTATCACTGTATTTTGGTTTTGTTCAATCCCTGTGGATTGAATTTTGGTTTCAAGTGCTGTCTCCTGGCGCAGGTGGTGGCCGAGGGGATGTGACCCGAGGTGGGTGCTTGGTTTCTGGTGGAGGGCCTGGCTTGCTCCCCGTGTCCCGTGGCGTGGCCGCGGCTGCAGGCAGGGCTGGTTGGGAGACCCTGCAGAAACCGTCTCCTGTGCTTGGGGGTGGAAATACCTCTCAGGAGGGAAAGGCAGAATTCGGGCCCTCAGTGACACTGAAGCTGGTAATAAGAAATGCACTCCTGAACTTGGTGATGGAAGAGGCAGGGGCTCAACTTCCAGTTTTTGTGTCTCTAATAATCTCTGTTGTTACTAAATGTTGGAAAGGAAAGGTCTCCCGTACTGAGCCCTCTCTGCATCTGGAACTGTTGCTTCCCTGCTCTCCAGACCAGGCTGAACTCACAGGAACGTAATAATGCCATCTTTGTGACTTGATGGTTTAAAAAAAGGATTAGTGACTGACTTTGGTGTAGAAGATTTGTGCTGGCTGGAGCTGGATCTTCTGGCACAAGGAGACGTGAAGGTGTTGCCTCTACATGTCTCTTGTGTCGCAAAGCACAGAGCTGTACCAGCCCCGTCAACAGTCTGCTGGTTTCTGAAACAATCCCAAATCGGTTTGGGAATCTGGTGCCACTGAGTAGTGAAAAGGAGAAGCCTGGGCCTGGTTGGTGACTTCTCCTTGCTGCAGCCCAGCTTTCCCAGTCTTCCTTTGCCTTGCAGCCGAAGGTGTTTGCTCTGCTCGAGACCAGTGCAGACCAGAGCAGAGAGACAGGAGCTGGTGCATCCCACCGGTCGCTCCCTCCACACCTCAGCCCCGCAGCGAAAGTCCACCATTTGGAAGCAGCACCTCAAGGCTGGTGTGTGTGACGGTGTCAGAAAAGGCCCTTCATGGGTCGGAGGGGCCTGGGGGCTCGGGGTGGTGGGCAGTGCTGCTGTGGCTGTGCCTGGAGGTTTCCCTTGGCTGGTGCCATGGCAGTTGAAGAGGGGCTGTTGGGTCTTCAGTCGGTGCTGCAGCCTTCCTCGTAGCCATGTTCTGCCTCCTCTTTGTGGCTGCAGCAGCAGGAGCAAAGCCCAGTGATCCTGTCCCGTTTGGGGGCCAGGGGCTGGCCGGAGCCTGGCCGGGCGGCCTGGCTGTGGTGCTGGTAGCCCCAGGTGTAGCATTTCTGCTCTCCCTCCTGGTCCCCACGTGTCCGGGCAGTCCGGCTGTGGGGTGTGACGAGGGGCTCTCCCCAGCCCTCTGGGCTTGGCGTGGTTTTTCTGAAACCACATCTCTTGGGGCACTCTTGTGCAGAGCTTCTCTTCCTCCTTCCTAGCACGACTGCAGCCGCAGCCAGGCTGGCTCTGGGTGGCTGCCCCGTGGTTTCATCTGTCAAAGAAATGAGCAGCTGGCGTCAGGGACACACGCAAAGTGACAGGGAGCATGAGGAGCAGCTGCCTGGATGCTGGAGGCAGCGGAGGCTGCTGAAGGTGGCAGGTACCTGCTGCCTTTTGAAACGGGTGTGCTTTCCTTCTGATTCTTCTCTTTCACCGTGTCCTAATTCAACCTTGACAGTCTCCAGGGTGGGTTTGCTGTTGGCATTCGTGGTCTGGAGCGGGAGGCTGACCCTCTGGGGACACTCCAGCAGGGCTTGTCGCTGCAGCCTCATGTGCTCCGGAGGTGTGTGTGAGGGGGTATGGCGATTCCATCCCGGTTCGTGTACGTGGTGAAGGCCGGGTGACTCTCCTGGGCTGCCAGAGCAGTTGGGGCTGATAGGCGAGAACTAGCTGTGATAGCTTTAGGTCTTCAAGCCACAGCGCCCGTCTGCATTTCAGAAATGAGGGAGGTTGAGCTGCCATCTCCCCCCGGAGCGCAGCTGGGGCTGGGACTGGTGCCTTGCTGGGAGGTGAGGAGGAGGAGGGAGACCTGCCAGGTGGAGCTGCCTGGAGGACTGCAGCTCTGTGCTCAGCAGCCTCAGGGCGTTATCCTGGCCCTGACCCTGTTGCAGCCTTTTGGGAAGGCTGTTCCCAGGGCCCAGAGAGCCCCCAGCCCACTCCATCTGTGCCGCTTGTGAGCGGGTGGCTGGGAGCACCAAGCTAGAACCACAGCACATGAGTGGGGGTCCCACAGCCGGGGGTACTGGCCAGGATGGGACACACGATGCTCAGTCCCTTCCAGGGCTCACTGCCCTGCTCCTGGCTGGGGACAAGGGCGTCCCTTCCCTCTCATCAGCAGCTCTCTGCATGACTCCAGCTTACCCCGGCAGCACCTCTAACCCAAGAACATGGCGTATCCTCTTTGGCGTGGTCCCCAGCCCGGTTTGGTGGGTGTGGGCTGCTCTACAGACCTGCAGCTTCCTAGATCTTATCGGCTCTCTGACACTACCCGCCTTATTGGAAGAGAAGACAAACCATTGCGGGAGCAGCACAGGAGGAGCAGAGAGAGCACTCCCCTTCCCTCTGACACATCGCTCTAAACCAGCGCTTAAAATGTCGTCACCGTTTTCTTGAATAAAAGTGCTGAGGCCAAGCCTCACCCTGGCACCGTGGGCTCTCCGTGAAGTATTTTGGAAATGCGGAGGGTGGCCCGATGCAGGCAGGGCCATGGGAGCTGTTTGTGGAGTAACCTGGCTCCCACGTGATGCGGGGCTCAGCGCTGCAGCGTCCTCCCCTCCCCGCTCTGAACGGGAGGGATGGCGGAGCTGGGTAACGTGTTGGTGCAGAGGTTACAGCTGCCTCCGGGCCGCAAAGCACCACACACCCATTCCTTTTAATTAAGAGGCTTCTTAAAGACTAAGCTGAATGTGTTGTACGCTGACCCATCCTTCCTGCTTCCCTTCCCTCCCCTCTCGAGCAGGGTTTGTGGAAGATGCAAACCCTGCAGGCGAGGGAGAATGCATTAATTATGCTTCGAGGTGAAGGGAGGGAAGGGCCTGGCACACCTATGTCTAGTAAACACCAGAATAAACCACTGCCTTTTAACCCCTGGTTCACTTGAGTTGGCCAGAGGACTGTGGTGGTGTCCAAACTCGTCTCTCCAGCCGCTCGGAGAGGACCATCCGTTTGCCCCCACCTTGTCTAACCCCCTCTCTCCTCGCCCAGAGCACCCGTCTGGCGTGGCGCTGATGAATGGCAGTGGTCCACACGAGAGCCTCAAGGGCGAGAAGGATGCCAGACAGAATGGTCATGAAGAGGCTGACCCAGGAGAAGACGGGAACGACCAGGAGGTCATTGTCATACAGGACACAGGATTTACCGTCAAGATCTGCGCGCCAGGGATAGAGCCCTTTTCCCTGCAGGTACCTCCCTTTGCTGGCTGGGGGGGGCACTGAGGAGGAGGAGGGAAGGGTTTGAGCCAGGGCACACACAGCACAGTCCCCTCAGCCACCCAGGCAGGGAGGGGGACAGGGGACTGTGCCCGGGAAGGTCCCCGTTAGCCCCCATGGCCTGGGTGGTACCTTCAGGCTGCTCACAGCTCCCTGGCACAGGAAAATGGCCTTCTCCCTTCTGGGCCGTTTCGAAGGAAGGATGTGAAAACCCGATTTCTGGGTCTGACTCTCAGGGAGGGACAATCCCATGCTTGCCCAGCAGCTGTGGCGTGATGCTCCTTCAGGCGTACGAGGGTTTGGTGCAATGACAGCTCAGGGAGCACAAGCACCAGCCTGAAGATGAAGGCAGCGATGCAGTCTCCGCTTCCCCTCTGCAGAGAAAGCTCCGCGTGTGTCATGTGGACGGTGGCACGTGCTGTCAGATCAGGACAGGCTTTGACATGCCTTGCTGATACTCTGATTTAGCCTGATACTTCACTGAAAGCCATTTGGATGAAGTATCTCTAATTTCAGGGGGAGGCGTCTGGAGTCTAAACCGAGTGGGAAGCCTTATCTCCCCAAGACTGGCAGACTGTGCAGTGAAACTACATCCTCTGTGGAAGTAGCTGTATCTCAGCCTGGCTTTTTTCTCCTTTAAATCCCCTTGGCTGTTAGTTTTAATAGGCTAATAATAGCGGGCCCTGTTGTTTACAGCAGCTTATATGTGAGTGACCCCGAGTGCTCCTCGCCTGCAAACGGTGTCTGTGGTGCTGGAGCAGAGCAGGGTTAGGAGAGCAGCCCTGGAGCACAAGCCAGGGTGGTCTCTTGTGTCCCCAGAGCCATGTGCTTGCCCATGGTGTGCCCTGGAGGTGTGACACTGGCATGGACAGGCCACACCACCCTGTGGATACGGCACCCACAGAGGTGGCAGTGCCCTCCCAGCAGGGACAGCAGTGATCTCCCTGCAGGGGAGAGCTAGAGGCTGCCTTTCAAGCTCGGGGAGGTACAAAAGGCATTTGATTCTGCAGCAGAGGGACAAATTCTGGTAAGAACACATGTGGGGACTGAGAATAACTGAGTTCTTCCCTTCTTAAGGTCTCTCCTCAAGAGATGGTGCAAGAGATCCACCAAGTTTTGATGGACCGTGAGGATACCTGCCATCGCACTTGCTTCTCCCTGCAGCTGGATGGCAACGTCCTCGATAACTTTGCTGAGCTGAAAACTATTGAAGGGCTGCAGGAGGGCTCGCTGCTGAAGGTGGTGGAAGGCAAGTTCCCTCAGACTTCGGGAGGGGAGGAGTGAGGGTTTCATAGGAAGTGGGTTTGACCACATGGCAACCCTTTCCCGCAGTTCCTTTTGGAGACCTGTGTGCCAAAGGAGTAAGCAACTGTCTAATTCCAGTTTCTTTCCCCCCTTTTTGCTCATCAGAACCATACACAGTGCGAGAAGCCAGAATACACGTGCGTCACATTCGGGACCTTCTGAAGAGTCTTGACCCATCAGATGCTTTCAATGGTGTGGACTGTAATTCCTTGTCCTTCCTGAGCGTCTTCACTGAAGGAGACCTGGGAGGTACGGGGCAAAAAGGCCTCCCTGGTGTGGCCAGTGTTTTCATTCCCCTGACTCCTTGCTTCATTCAAACACATCATAACAATCTGTCCCACATCTTTCAGGAGTGCAGGGAAACACTGGGAAGCGCGTTCCTCCTTGAGTCATTACCAGAGGAGGGAATGCTGTGTTTTCCAGCACTGACATTCTCTCTCTGTCCGTTCTAGACAGCGGCAAACGGAAGAAGAAAGGTACTGAAATGGAACAAATCGACTGCACCCCCCCAGAACATATCCTGCCAGGTAGCAAAGAGAGACCCCTGTGTGCCCTTCAGCCCCAGAACAGAGACTGGAAGGTAGAGTTCTCCTGCGTCATTGAAACGGCTCTGGGCACATTCCTTGCAGCAAAGTGGTGCTCGGGGATTGGAAGCTGCACTGGAGTGGACTTTGGGATTTGCTCTGCTTGATGCTTAGTGAGTGTGGGCACAGCTCTGCTTAGCCAAAGGAATAAAGTCCAAGAGCTGGTGTGCAAACACTGGCCACTGTGGGTGGCCACCTGCAGAGTGTAAAATGGCCACCATCAAAGGGAGGGGTGGCAGGGAAGGGAGGGCAGCATTTCTCTGCAAAGTCCTGGAGACAGGATCTGCAGATCCATACAAATTACCCTGAGCTTTCCCATACCCTCCCACTTGGATTCCGGTTTAGAAGCTGCTGTTTGAAAACCAGTACAGCAAGAAATCCGTGCCTTGTGCAGCCCAAAGGCCCAGGGTGTCTGTTCTTACCTGTGTCTTACCTGCTGAAAGGCAGCAAACTGAGGCAGAGCAGGGGACTGCAAACGGCGGGAGGAAGGGTGTGCTCTTGAGACCAGGTGGTTGGTTTTTTTGTAAGCGGTGTTTCTGCAGGCAGGTGAGGGCAGCAGGTAAAAGGAATCTGGCGTGTATGTGGAATGGCTCTGTAACTCGAGGGAATGAATTCCTGCTGACAGGACTTGCTTCTGTTGTGTTCTTCTGTAGCCTTTGCAGTGCCTAAAGGTATTGACGATGAGTGGCTGGAACCCTCCTCCTGGTAACCGGAAAATGCACGGGGACCTCATGTATTTGTATGTCATCACAGTGGAGGATCGGCACGTCAGCATCACTGCGTCCACGCGAGGATTTTACTTGAATCAGTGAGTTACTGGAATTCCTCCTGCCCTGCCCTGCAGCAGGGAGCTTGCCATGGCCGACTGGAGAAGAACCCACCAACAAACAATTGCTGTGCTGCTTTTTTTTCCTTTTTTTTTTTTTTTTTTTGAGGAAAATAGCCTATTTTAATTTGCTACTTACCTGGGTTTGTAGGAGTTGCTATACTGGATTGGGCTGTTCAGTTATGCCTGGTACCATTTCTTCACAGTGGATAAATGTCTGATGCTTTAGGGAAAGTTTAAATCATCCCATAATGTCATCAGCTAATTAGAGCATTTTGAGTTGGGAGGGAATTCCTTCCTGACCATTGCAGCTATCTCATTTTGCCCTAAAGCAAGAGCACAGCCTGCCAGAACTTCCGGAGCTGGGCACACATTTCACTAGGGTGGGTTTTGTTGGTTTTTTAAAATAGTTCCTAAGAGAGACTGTTCAAGTGCCCGCCCTGAGTCCCTGCCCGTCAGAGCGGCTCTTGAGGGAGGTGCAGGGTCCATCCAGCCCAGCAGCCTCTAACAGAGACCTGTTGAGTTGGGGGTGGACAGGAGAGAACTTCAGAGCGACAAACCCTTTTCTACCTGAGCAGCCACCAGCTCAGAAACACCTCTGGGTGCCTTGATCCCACAGTCCAGATAATTGCCCAGGCAACCATAACCACAGGTTTGAAATACAGTTATAGTTCACAGAAGGAGAATGAAGCTGCCTGAAGAGAAGGGGAGCTTAAAATATAGAAGATAAAATTCAAGCACTTTTCCACCCTCTGTCTTGTTACAAAGCAGAAGTGCTCTGTGTTAAACTGGCTCATGGAAGAAATAATTCTGCCCATGTGCCACCTGGTCTCCATTTTCAAGCGAGGCCAGCAGGTCTTCCATGCAGAGTGTGTATGGAAAGCTCTCATTCATGTACCACGTCCCTAGGGTATGGGAAGTCTCAGCTATGACAACGGCTTGTGACTTTATTTCTTTTTTCTCTTGCAGGTCTACTGCATACAACTTCAATCCCAAACCTGCAAACCCCAGTTTTCTCAGTCATTCCTTGGTGGAACTACTTAACCAGATCAGCCCTACCTTCAAAAAAAACTTTTCCGCTCTGCAGAAGAAACGGTAGCAGCACTTTTTCCTCTCTAGTTGCCTTGAGTGGTCTGTGGTGAAGCTGCTTGGCGAGGCCCGGCTGGTTCTGTGGGAGCTGGGTGCTGCTCTGACACAGCAGGGAGCACGGGGTGTTCCTTGGCTCTAGCTCCCGGGTGACTCTTGCAGATTTCTTTAGATTCTGCCTAAAGCAAAGGGTGGGGGATGAGGGCTTTCTGTTACCATGGGAGTATCGGCTGTGGGGCTTGAGAAACCCTGGGGCAGTTTGTGCAGTGGGAGAGAAAGCCCAGAGATGGGCTGCAGTGTCTACACACGGGAAACGGCTGAGATGTGGGTCCCCTCGCTGAGGCTGCGTGTTGGCTACGTGCCTCCTGGGAGACCTGGTGGCCTCCCAACTAGCCAGGTGGCAAAGAGCTCACGTGGAGCCTGGCCACGTGCTGCAGCAGCACCGGGCCGGATCAGGAGGTACTTCCCTAACTCCAAGACAGAGAATGGAGCATAAAATGTCAGGGAACGTAACACGAGGGCTTTGTGTAGGCTTACACTGGAGAGAGAATAATTATTTTAAACATGTCCGTGCATGTTCAGTTTCTCTAATGTCCTCTAGCTCCTCTAATAATAATAAAAAACCCCAAACAATAATGTATTGTTTCATTCTCCTGTCCTTGCTGCAGGGACCATTTATTCTGCTCCAGGACAGTGGGTCCTGTGCAAAAGCCTGTCATTCTTCAGAGTCCACTTAATGAACTGCCTCGGCTCAGCAGGGTGCAAATTGACAGGCACATTGTGTGGCTTTCAGGAGCTCTGCTTCTGCTCTCATTAAGAAGATGAAAGTGACACTAGACAAGGGCTGGAAATTAGCAGTGGCCTCCAGCCACCACTGTGACTATCTGGCCATTTAAAAATGATTATACTGTCGTGCTGCTTGGGCCAGGAGTAAATACAGATGAGACTCCAGCACCTGCTGGGAGCAGACAGATTACACAGGAGGCCGTTGGGCGAAGCTTGGTTTTTCACTTCATTAGTGGATGGTGCTGTGGGCTGGTTTTATAACAACCCAGATGGGCTGGTGTGAAAGCTGAGGGCCAGAGGTGGGGGTGGGCATCCTCCCCCTCCAAACGCAGAGGGTGGTGGGGATCTCCAGTGATAGAACTGGGGAAAGAGGGACAGGGAGAGCCCAGGTAACTCTGCAGCCTTCTGCTGAGAGATGCTGCCTGAGCCAACCAGCCACCACGGGATATAGCACTTGGTAAGGGAAAGCCCGCCGTGCTGCTCCTGGGGCCTGGTCTGGTGCTGCTGTGTGTCAGAGGCTGGTGTTGCAGCAGAAGGAAAATGCTCTCAGAGTAGAAAGAAATCATCTGATTGTTTTCACTCCCAAACCAGGGTTCAGAGACACCCCTTTGAAAGGATAGCCACTCCTTTCCAAGTGTACAGCTGGACGGCCCCGCAGGCAGAGCACGCCATGGACTGTGTCCGGGCAGAAGACGCTTATACTTCGAGACTGGGCTACGAAGAGCACATACCTGGACAGGTATCGGTCTTGCTTTGCCACCAGCTCCACTGGGAGCCAGCTAATTTTAACAAGTAGACCTCTGGTATTTGTGCAAGGGTTTTGCCCAGCGAGGGACAGCTTGTGGGAGCCCTTGTTCTTGGCAGTGCCCTTGGCTACAGGGGCTGTGCTGCTCCGGCTGCGGCTCCTCAGCACGGAAAACTCTGAGAGGAGCAACTTCTGCTGGGGTGTGTGTAAATCCCATGTCCCTGCTTCAGGCACCGCTGCCCAGAAGGCAGAGGGCTCCTCCACACCCGTTGCACCTGGAGTGGCTCTTGGGTCTCTGAGCAAACTATTCCAATTGTTTCACTTGCAGCATAAACTCTTGCAGGGCGGGAGTGCTGCGGGGCTGTAACGGCTGCCCGGGGGTGGCTGTGGCCACTTCGCAGCGTGCTGGCTGATGAAACCAGCACTGCATAAGCTGGGCTAGTGTAAGATCTGTCCCAAACTGCTGTTGAAAAAAGTCCATTCATGAAGAGTGTTCATTCCTGCTGCTAATTCCTTTCATCAGAACTCCATGGCAGCCTGAATCCTTGCCCCTTCCCCTCCCTCCTCACAAAATGCCTCATAAAGCAGAAATGCTGCCTTGGCAGCCCCTTCCCACACAATTCGGGGCTTCCCACGAGGCTTTGACTTTTTCAGACCAGAGACTGGAACGAGGAGCTGCAGACCACGCGGGAGCTGCCGCGCAAGAACCTGCCCGAGAGGCTGCTGAGAGAACGAGCCATTTTCAAGGTACCTTTGGGCTGTGGAGGCAACTGCTCACACAGCCCCTTCTCTGCTGTCCGTGTCCCATCTGGACAGTCTGCCTGTGCTATGCTTTACAGTCTGCCAGAGGAGGATCCCCATTTGTAAGCCAAAGGGTCTTGTTCTCTCTCGCATGTCTGCTCTCTGCTCCCCACGGGGAAGAGTTGTGCTCCTTGACCCCATGTCTCCCTGCTGACCCCGAGGCAGCCGCCTCTTAGTCCTCTGCTCTTCTGTCTGATCCAGTTCCTCCTCGGAGTGGGTGGAACAGGAGGAGGGGGGACACGCTCACACCTAAGCTCCCCTCTGCAGAGAGCTCATGAGTCTCAGCCGAGATGATCCCTGCTGTCCTGGCTCCTGGGCCTTGTCGCTAAGCCACTAGCCAGGCTCATAAAAGTAAAAGCCAGCTGACCTGCCTGCTGGAAGGCTACTGGGAGGAGGGGAGTGAAGGAGGAATTTGCAGGGAGCTTTGAGAGGAGGTGTTGGGCGGGTGGGAGCCCTTCCTGACCCAGCTTTCTCTCCACCTCCCTCCAGGTTCACAGCGACTTCACTGCAGCAGCAACAAGAGGGGCTATGGCTGTCATTGATGGCAACGTCATGGCCATCAACCCCAGTGAGGAGACCAAGATGCAGATGTTCATCTGGAACAACATTTTCTTCAGCCTGGGCTTTGACGTCCGTGACCACTACAAGGACTTTGGGGGAGATGTTGCTGCTTATGTAGCTCCTACCAATGATCTCAATGGTGTGCGGACCTATAATGCTGTGGACGTGGAAGGGCTGTACACGCTGGGGACTGTGGTGGTGGATTACAGAGGTTACAGGGTGACAGCTCAGTCTATTATTCCTGGCATCTTGGAACGGGAGCAGGAACAGAGTGTCATCTATGGGTCAATAGACTTTGGCAAGACAGTTGTTTCACACCCCAAGTACCTGGAGCTGCTGGAGAAGACCAGCAGGCCGCTGAAGATCCAGAAGCACAAAGTCCTCAACGACAAGAACGAGGAGGTGGAGCTGTGCTCCTCGGTGGAGTGCAAAGGCATCATTGGCAACGACGGGCGTCACTACATCCTGGACCTGCTCCGCACTTTCCCTCCAGATCTCAACTTCCTGCCTGTGGAAGGGGAGGAGATGCCAGAGGAATGTAAGAAAATGGGGTTCCCCAAGCAGCACAGACACAAGCTTTGCTGTCTCCGGCAAGAGCTTGTTGATGCCTTTGTAGAACACAGGTGAGCTGAGCTCCTCCCTCCCTCCTGCAGCTGGTCATGGTCCACCTCGGGACCACGCTGCATTGTCCCTGGGACATCAGGACAGAGTACCCAGAAGTGGGCAGCTAAATTCCCCATTGCTTGGTTGTGCAGGTGCAATTATAGAGACTTAATTAACAAGAGGTGAAAAGAGCAGGGATTCTGACAGGGTTACAGGGAACCTGGGGAAGAGATGGTTTGCGTTTTAGTCTCCACATCTGGTTTTGTTGTTTCCTCTCCAAACATTTAGGAGTTCCTCTTTCCTTGCAGATATCCTGGGTGCCTGATGGGGAATGGCAAGGCGTTATGCTTCTTTTTAAGACTCTCCAGATGTCTTGAATGCTACCTTTTTTGTTTTATCTAGAGGCTGAAAAAAATTTACCCGTGGGAAGTGCTGTAGGCACTTGTGTGGTGGGATGTGTTGGCGTTTGGGCTCACTCAGCACAAGTGGGAGCTGTGGAAGTGGTGTGGTGCTGGGGGTGTTCATGCTGGGGGGGCTGCAGGTGCTGTGCTCCAGCAGATGGTCGCAGCCCGTGCTCCTCTCTCCGAGCAGACAAGCCCTCTCCTTGCTGACGGGAGCCCTGCCCCCTGAGCAACCAGTTCTGCCCGTCCTGGTTGTGCCGCGTGCCCGCAGGCCGGCTTTGCTGCTCCCCGGGAGAGCTTCCAGAGCAGCAGCCTGCAGGACCCTGCTGCTGCTCCTGCTCCTTGGCCAGAGGAGGCTGGGCCTCTCCTAAGGTCTCCTGGCAAAACCGCTGTGGGTTTGGGTTTGACGAGCCCCGGGAGAGTCCTCCTGAGTTGTCTGCTGATGTGTGTGTGTGTGGAAAGCAATTTGTAACCGCTGCAAGGAGATTAGTTTCCCTTTGGGATGGGTAATGAAAACCCACTTTTTTGTGCTTCTTCCCATAAACTAATGTGTGCTCCTTGGATTTTTATTTTTTTGAAAGCTCATGGGCAGAGGGTGTGCGTCTTGCCTTTCCCCAGGGAAACCGAATGGTCTATAGAGCTAACTTGGTGAGGCTTTTCCCTCGCAGACTTCTTCCCATAAACTAATGTGTGCTCCTTGGATTTTTATTTTTTTGAAAGCTCATGGGCAGAGGGTGTGCGTCTTGCCTTTCCCCAGGGAAACCGAATGGTCTATAGAGCTAACTTGGTGAGGTTTTTCCCTCGCAGTGGTGATCCCCTTGGGTCCCCAGCTGTGCTGAATTCCTCCTGTCCCTTGCTGCAGGTATCTGCTGTTCATGAAGCTGGCTGCGCTGCAGCTGATGCAGCAGAAAGCCAACAAGCAGGAGAGCTCTGGCGCGCTGGAAAATGGCGCCTCTCCGGAGAACGGGGCTGCGGAGAGCGAGAAGGCTGAGTCAGAGGAGGGTAAAATAGACGATAACGTGACTGGACTTGATCAGGTGAAAGAGCTTGCTGAGACCATTGCATCTGATGATGGAACAGGTATTTCCTCCTCAGGAGCGGCCCAGGCCGCCTGCCCTGGCTGCTGGGGCTGTCGCTGGCAGGAGCCGTGCCAGCCTGGGGGTGTCGGGGTGACTGTTGTTGAACAGGACAGGCACTGGCTGCTTCTGTCGATACTGCCTTGGCTCTTTGCACCCAGCTGTTCACACACGAGTGAATTAGTCACCCTGGGGGCTGGCTGGGTCGGTGGGCAAGCGTCTCTGGCTGCAGCGAGCCCAGCAGCTCTGCCACAGGAGCGGGAGCCTGGCCAGCTCTTTGGCCTCGGGGCAACGGAGGCTCAGTGTGGGTGGGGGGCAGCTGGGGCAGGGCTGGGGGGAGCAGAGGGGAGCTGGGGCAGGGCTGGGGGGAGCAGAGGGGAGCTGGGGCAGGGCTGGGGGCAAGCAATGCACAGACTCCTTTGGGAATCCCGGGCTCACATTTCTGAGTCTCTGTGCTTGGGGGGTGGCAGTTGATGGGTTTTCTGGGTCGTTTTATAGGCTCTTGTTCAGGCTTTGCATTTTGCAGCCATCCTCCTTCCCAAATGTCTTACAATTGATGGGTTTTATAATGGATTTCTGCAGAATATGCCATCATTGCTGCTTTTAATAGCAAAACTTTTCTCTTAATTTAATAGCTAAGCTTGTCATCTTCTGAAATCCACATTCATTTGTGTTCTATTTTTCTTCCTGCTCCAGTGGATCCCAAAAGCAGAGAAGTGATTCGAAATGCTTGCAAGGCTGTGGGCTCCATTAGCGACACGTCATTTGACATTCGGTTTAACCCAGATATTTTCTCACCAGGTACGTGTACAAAGAGCTGGTTTCAGTTCTCCCTCAGAGGACAGCTGTGTCCAGCCACAGACAAAAAAAAATTGTTTTCTGTAGCTTCAAATATTGCTGGCTTTTGGCTGGCGGGGCACGGGGCAGGACTCTCTGAGAAGCACAAAGACAGAGGAAGGAGGAAGCAGAGTAATCGATTGCGATGCTTACGCCACCGAAGCAGCAGCGAGCTCTCTCCCCCTCTGTGCTCGGCGCAGGCCTGCACTGCTGCCAAGAATCTCCCTGCCATCCTCCAGCGTCCCAGCTGCTAGACCACAGGAAAAGAAGCAGAGGGAGGGGGGAAAAAAATTAAATTTGGTCCTAATGTAGTAGTTTACACAAAAAACAGCGGTTGTAGCTGGACAACTGATGTTGCATCCTGAGTGAAGGGCAGGGTTTGCTTTAGTAACGTTATGGTAAGCAGGTCACAGTGCCCTTTCCAATGCACGCATCAGTCACAGGTGGTGTATGCAGCTTTCCATGGCTGGAATCGGTATTTTTTATCTGGGAATACAGAAGGAGCTGCCAGGGAGTTTCTGGGGGTGAATGCCAAGGCTGTGTGCGTGCAAATTGCAGGGGAATGGCTGTATCGTAGAATTTATGTGTCAGAAGGAGCATGTGTTCTGAAACGCAGCGTTGTCTGAGGCTGGTAAGGGTTAGTGCTTTGGGCACTGACTTTGCAGCTAGAACTTAAAACCTTATTTTAATTTTGGTGTGCAAAAGCAAAAGGGGCTGAGTTTCTAGGACTTGCAGCATTTGCTGGTCCATCTGCAGCAGCGTGCCCACTCCAGTCTCACCAGTTGACTCTTCTGCCTTTGAACCGTGCACAGCACTTTGCAATAAGTAGAACGGAGCAGAGAAAGAGCAGAATTTGGGCTTTTAAAAGCTGCGTTAAGAAAAAATGTGAGTGGGCAGGGGCAGCAGAGCTGCTCACCCAGCACAGCAGCTGATGCCCTTCCCATTGAAACGTGTTGTAGAGTAGATGAGTTTTTGAAGAAGCATCTTTAATTCCAGGGAGACAGTCACTTTGACTTCTTACCTGCTCTTAATATACCCTTCCTGTGTATTCCTTGTTTCTTCTTTGAGCTGATGTGTTCCATGTCTTTCTCTTTTCCTCTCCTAGGTGTTCGTTTTCCTGAGTCTAGCAAGGAGGAGGTGCAGGATCAGAAGCAGCTGCTGAAGGACGCTGCCGCATTCCTGCTGTCGTGCCAGATCCCGGGTTTGGTAAGGAGCTGGGGACCAGCAGCAGTGTGTCCCTGCTCCCCTCCAGCCTGGCTGCTCTGGGGAGGTGCTGACAGGGGGACACGCCAGCTTCAGTGCCGAGTTGTGCTGGCAGCTGAGTCCTGGCCCCTGGTGAACAGCTCAGTCTCTTGTGCAAGCACAAAAAGGGGTTTTCCAGTTCCCGTCTTAAATCACAGCACAATTTTCCCACCTCAATCCAACGATGGATTTTTGGCACTAGTAATTAACAGCTATTGCTAAGAGTTTGGGATGATAAAGACCACATAGGTCATCCTCCCTAGCCCTGGGCATCCTGCACAACTTACTGTGTTATCTGACCCTGCTTGTGACTCAATTGGTGATTAGTAATTTGGAGTGAACTGGGAAATTGCTCTTACTAATGTCTATTGTAGAAACTCCCTCTGTAAGTCTTAAGCATTCTGGCTCTGTAAGAGTTACTAATGTCTATTGTAGAAACTCCCTCTGTAAGTCTTAAGCATTCTGGATGCTTCCTCGTGCACCTGGCTCTGTAAGAAATGCCAGCTTTTCCCTTCTCAAGGTGCTCCCTGAATGGGCTGCTGATGCGTGTGTTACAGCAGGCTCTGGGCCTGGGAGGGCAGAATTGATCATTCCCGCTCCAGGAGGTTCAGGAGTTGCTGGTCTTACGTAGGAGGGGATTTTGTGTGCTGGAAACTTTCTTCTGAACAATGAATCCACTAGTTTCATAGTCAGCATTACCTTTAAGACCAGCTGTTTAGTCTTTAAATAAAAAAAGGAGGGGGAGTGAATCAGAAAAGGGCTTGGTGAGTGTTGTTTTACGAGACAGCTGATACACCAGTGTGCAAACCCAAAATGCTGCATAAGCGTGTGTGGGGGCAGGGGACAGCCCCACTCGTGTGTGGGAGAGGGACTGATGTTACTCCGTGACGTGAGACGGGACTTTATCAGCACTGCCACACAACTTAAAATGCAAGTGCCATCTCCCCTTATCAGCTGAGGGTGCGCAACGCTGTGTAGTCTTTTAATCGGAAATGTTTTGAGTTGGTGGCTGTGAGGCCCCTAACGAAGGGTTAACCTGCTGGTGCCACAGGCATTAAATAAGCTGTGCCAAAGGGAATGTTGCCTGAGCCAGAGTCCCCAAGTGGCAAGAGCTTGCCCAGGCTGCTTTGAGCTCTGTGCTGCCCGTGCAGTGTGGTGGTCTCTGGTGTTTCCACCAAAAGACCCTTTGGGGCCACCGTGAGCCCCAGGTAACAGAAACGTGTGCGACAGTGGTGGGGAGCAGTGGTCCTGTGATCCTGTGCTTGTAATGAAATGTCATCCCTGGAAACTGCCTTCTCTGTCAGGCAATGCAATTTCCCCTCCTCAATCAGATTTTTTTATAATTATTATTTAATTTTTTAAAAAAATAGAATTTTTTTCCTTCGCGTTTGCTCTCCGTACCTGAAGTTTGCATATTCCCTGCAGGTCAAAGACTGCCTGGATCACACGGTGCTCCCGATGGACGGGGCCACCTTAGCAGAGGCCATGCACCAGCGGGGCATCAACATGCGTTACCTGGGCAAAGTGATCAACTTCATCACCAAGACCCCTGGCCGTGCTCAGCTGGATCACATTTTTGTAAGCTTTGGGTTTAACTTCAGGCTGCCAATTAAAACCGCCTCTGGCGTAATTTGCCCTGTATGGATTCCAGCTTGGCCAATTGATTTCTCTGTGTAAAAATAAACAGCTTCAAAAACAGAGGAGGGAGAAGGAGCTGTAAGTGTTGGATGGGGAGTTTTGCTCCCCAATTCCTAATGCCTCTCATAATGTAAGTGGTTTTGAGCGTCCTTTGGGACAGAGAAGTGTTTTGGGGATGCCCAGCCACAGCAGGGGTAACACACGGCTGGATTTTAAGCCCTGCATTTTTTTAAGCTTTTAAGATCCATCAGGGCTTTGGATCAGGAAGCACCGTCAGAGCTGAGCTGTGCCATGGGGGGTGGCTGTGGTCAGAGCTGAGCTGTGCCATGGGGGGTGGCTGTGGTCACTGTGCTACGTCAGGGTGCAGGGGGCTCCTCCCCAGCTCCAGGAGTGCTATCAAATGCAAACCAGTTCCAAGCTGCAGGATGAGGACTGGGGAGCGTCCTCTGCAGATCCTGATACAAGCCCCCTTCAAAAGGAAAGTGTGTTTTTCATTGTTATTGCCGACTGACTCTTAATTGCTGTTCTTAATTCCTTTGGGTAGAAAATAGGAATCAGCGAATTGATCACTCGATCGGCAAAACACATCTTCAAGACGTACCTCCAGGTATGACCTGCAGTCTAACCCTTGCCTTGTGTGTTCTCTCTAATGACTTTTTCCCCACAAACAGAGCTGTTTGAGTCTCTCCTCTCATTAGGCGGTTCATAGGGGTTGCCTGGCAACGGGAAGTACAATCTCATTAGCGCTAAAATAGGTCCAGGCCTGCGTGTAGGGGAAAACAAGTTCCCACTTGAAGATGGCTTTCCCAGAGAGTAATCATTCATGCTTTTCTTCCCCACGTTCTCGCTCATTATGCTGAAGGCTTTTAAAAGTGAAAGTACAGCTTGTAATACCTTTTCCTCTGAAACGGTGTTGCTTTTGCCTTCTAAGAAGTGTTTCTAATTGCACAAACACTAGTGCATCCTTGTGCCTGTCCGTACACGGCACATGGGGCTTTGCTCCAGTGTCAGAATCTTCTGCACACCCTCTAGTTTCTCTGTCCCAGGTGGCAGCCCGAAGTGGAACTGTGTATTTGTGCGTGTAGGTATATACTTATGTCTTGTACCTACATAATTTTGTCTGTGCTGGTTCCACTTGCAAATACTTGCCTTCCTCTTCCTCTCCTGGAAGATTTCCCCATTTCTGGTAGGATTTGTGTGGGACCTGGGGTCGGAGTGGTGCCCCTGTGATGGCAGGGGTCTTCCAGGGCTGATTTTGGTGTCTCTCTGCAGGGTGTGGAGCTGTCGGGTCTCTCTGCAGCCATCAGCCACTTCCTCAACTGCTTCCTAAGCTCCTTCCCAAATCCCATCGCCCATCTTCCAGCTGACGAGCTGGTCTCCAAGAAAAAGAATAAGAAAAGGAAAAACAGGAACCTTGGGAATGCTGATAACACTGCGTGGGCCAGCATGACCCCTCAGGAGCTTTGGAAGAATATCTGTTCAGAAGCCAAGAGCTACTTTGATTTTAGTCTTGAATGGTAAGTGGAGCAACGGCCCTCACTTGTGCCGGGATCTCACCAAACATCTGCAGCTCTTACTGTTCCTTAATAGGACCTGCCTTTAAATTTGTACTCCTGAGGGAGTTTTACAGGCTTGTAAAGGAAAGAAATCAGGCAGAGAGCAGCAGGGAGAAGTGTAACTGAGACCTGAAGTGAGACGAAACCTGTGAGGCAAAGGCAGGGAGGAAAACCCAGAGCAGGAAGGGAAACCTCCATCGTAGCACCGAGGGGAGCAGAAGGCAAGAAGCTGGCAGAGTGTAATCAAAAGATATTTGTATAGACAGTGATTTAGGCTAAAGGGAGCTTGTATTCCAAAAACCAGGATGGCTTCTCCTGTGTCTGAAACAGAGATGGTGAAAAGGCTGCTGGAAGGTGCATACAGTGAGTGTAAAACTGGAGGGACAAGCAGAGTGGCCCAAGAGGAAAGCCATGACTGCCTGGCTGAATGGGAGCTCCTTCCTTCACCCCAGGGACAGCTTGCTCCTTACCAGGAGCTGAAGGCAGCCAGGCTCTCACCTCAGCTCTGCAGTGAGCTTTGAAGAGAACACACATAGGATCTCAGTCAAAAGTAGTTGGGTATCTCTGTGAGCTTTAGTAGGCCGTTAGCAACCATGGTAGTGCCAGTCACTGGTTTCAGTCAGCACCTGCCTGCACAGGGACCCCACGCTGGGGGGATCTCCTCGGGCAGACACTCACCCAGAGCTGAAGCTTGTGTCTGCTTTTTGCAGTGAGAACGCTGACCAAGCAGCTGAAGTGTATAATCTACAGAAAATCACCCTGCTTCGTGAAATCTCCCTCAAAACTGGAGTCCAGGTAAGATCTATGTCTCCCCTCCCTTCCCCATCGTGTCCTGTCCTGAGAACCAGCGACACGGGACCTTCCAAAGCTCTATCCTGAGCTGGTGGCACTGGGGATGTTTGACTTTGAATCCACGTGCAGAATTCAAGGCTCACTTTCCCCTTTTCTTGCCAAGTACCTGTGAGGGTGTAACCATGACTCTCTTCGGTTCCTCTAGATCCTGCTGAAAGAGTACAACTTTGACAACAGGCACAAGCCCACCTTCACGGAAGAGGATATCCTCAACATCTTCCCAGTAGTGAAGCACGTCAACCCCAAAGCCTCCGATGCTTTCCACTTCTTCCAGAGCGGGCAAGCAAAGGTTCAGCAAGGTATGGACCCCTCTGCCTCTGGGGGCAGCTGCTGATACAAGGGAGAGCAGGGCCCGTTGCCCACCACGCTCCCACCCACCCCTTCTGGTGGAGAATCGTGGTCTCCAAGACCATCTGGAACACCCCTCTGCTGTGAAGTTCCCCACCAGGATGGAACCAGAGCAGTGATTCCCTTCTGGGTTTCAGTCCTTACCTGAGGCAGTGGCTGTGTATCCCACTGTCCTTGCTTCGTGGGCAGCCTGTTCCTGCAGCAGTGTGAGGGGTTATTTAATGTACATAAATACGTGAATATAACTTTTTTTTCAGGTTTCTTGAAGGAGGGTTGTGAGCTCATCAACGAAGCCTTAAACTTGTTCAACAATGTGTATGGTGCTATGCATGTTGAAATCTGTGCCTGCCTGAGGCTGCTGGCGCGTCTCAACTATATCATGGGGGATTATTCAGAGGTGAGATGGGGCTGTTCCATCCTCCCGTTCCTTCCCCGTGCTTCCTCGCTCAACTGCACAGCACCTTCTGACTTGCTCTTGGGTCTTCTTTTCTCTTCAGGCCTTAAGTAATCAGCAGAAAGCGGTGCTAATGAGCGAGAGGGTCCTGGGTATCGAACATCCCAACACGATTCAAGAATACGTAAGTACAGGGTGCTGGGGGAGATCAGCACCTCCTGTGTCTGCCCGGAGTCTGGGACCCTCAATTCCTGTCTGCACCCAGAGAACAGTCACAGTTTTGTATCTCCCCACTAAACGTCCTGCAGGGTCACTTGGTTGAGGATTTTGGGGGCTTTGTCTGCTGAATGTTTATTTATATTCATGAATTCTGCTGGCTTTAGCCCTGGGCTTATGTCACAAATGAAGAAAGAGTAAGAATTCCCCCAAAAGCACAATCAGAATATCATCTACACACAGGTCAATCCTGAAATATTCCTTGAGGTGCGTAAGAGAAATGGGAATGAAAGACTTCAGCTTCCTCAGTGTCTCATGTGGTACCTCAGTGGAGCTGTAAATAAGCAGCAGACCCAGACTCTTCCGAGTGGTTAATCCTTTTTGACCTTTTATTTGTGTGCAGCTGGGGAAAGGAGTAGACAGGAGAGACTGGTTTGCTCTACAGAGAGGTGAGATGCTGGGTTACTTCTGTTACAGATGCACCTCGCTTTGTACTGCTTCGCCAACAGCCAGCTCTCCACAGCGCTGAACTTGCTGTACCGCGCACGCTACCTCATGCTCCTGGTGTTTGGGGAGGATCACCCAGAAATGGCACTCTTAGATGTAAGTAAGCTTTTGGAGTCTTCACGTTTCTAATCTCTAAGAAACCTCTTGGCCTTTAAAACGCCCATAGTGCTGGTTATTTAAAATAAACATTCGGGCACTGCCTTTTCCTGCCTGGGTTGCTCCCTGTTGGTGCTGTCGGAAGAAGGGAAAAAAGGAGTTTTCTCCAGACTCTTCAGCTGGGAAGGCCACCTTCTGTGGCTGAAGTTCCATGCTGGGACACTGGAGATGGGGACTCACAAGCTTCTAATCCTTGGGCAAATTCCTTCATTTAGCCCGTTCTTGTTGCCCTTGCATGAAATGGGGAGAGTTCCTTCTCTCCCTTGTTTGGAGTGAGCTTCCTCGGGGGAGAGCGGTCTCCTGGAGTGTTACATCTATGGAGAGACCCGCTGGGGACTGGGGGCCTCTTCAGAAGTGACACCCCCCTGTGGTCTTGGCATTTCCAAAGCAATAAATGCACAGTTTGAGTTTGCCTTTCTGACTGCTCGACTTCTCTGTGCAGAACAACATCGGCCTGGTGCTCCACGGGGTGATGGAGTACGACCTGTCCCTCCGGTTCCTGGAGAACGCGCTGGCCATCAGCTCCAAGTACCACGGCTCCAAGTCTCTGAAAGTTGCACTAAGGTGAGGCTGGGACGAGCCACCCCAGTTAGAGTGAGTGCATCCACCCCGTGGGAGGGCTCTGAGCCAGCTGTGCCCAGCTGTGCTCTGTTAAATTGGAGACTCAAGACTCCCTGGGAGTGCTGGGCTGCCTGAGTCAAGGTCACGGTGCAGAGTCCAAGGTTGATCTCAAAAGACAGAGATCCCTTGATCTTAAATTTTGGGATCTGCTGTAATGCTGGTTGCCCCAGAAATCTGTCGAAATAACCCTGATCCTTGTGGACTCTCAGCAGCAAAACCTCTGTGGCAAGTGAAGCTTGGAGAGCAAAAGGCTAATGGAATTACACAGGGAGACTGGGATGAGACATAAACACTTGTGTTTAATTGTTTCAGCCCTTGGGGAGCTATCTTTGAGAAGTGTATAATTTGCTTTTGTCCTTTACCATAAAGCCTTATAGTTGAATAAAACACTGAGTGGCTGCTGGGTGTTTGTGAGGGAGCAGTGAGTGGTCGCACCTCTAGGATCTGCTCCAGACACCCCAGGGCTGCTCAGCGCCGCTCGCCTTGTCCTTGAATGCAAAACTGGCTCACTCTCAGCCGAGCAGTGGCCTCTCCTAATTACTGCTACCACATTGCAACCCATCTGTTCCTCGTCAGGGCGAAAATAAATCTTATTAAGCACCCACAAGAGCCTGGTTTGTTTTCCAGCAGTTGATGGATTTGCGTTCTGCAGAAAGCATCCTGCCTTCCCTCAGCAGCGCTGGGACGCTCGATGAGAGTCATCGCCTCCCACAGAGTCATTCTGCCAAAACCAGGAATCTCATTTCATTCCAGAAACACTAAGGAAGGAAAGTCCAAGACAGTCAGCTCTCCCCACTGGAGCGTGCCTGTCCCAGCTCGGCCACCGCTTTGCTGGTTGTTTCTATGCCAGGAGATCCTTTACTTTTGAATAATCATTTCACACCTTTGCATTCTAAGAAACAGAAAAGCTTTCCCAGGTGCAGGAGGAAAAAAGTCCCCAGTTCAGTCTTCACTTCTGCAGGTCACTTCTCAGCGTTTCAACAAAAACCCAGCCCAAACCAGTGTAGTTTATTCATCCCCAAATGGGGTGGGGAGATGTTGTTACCAGGGTGCTGTGTTCAGAGTCCAGCATCTGCCTCCTTTGATGCTGGTACCAAGACTTTTAGCCTGAATGTTGTTAAGTTAAAGTCGTGCAGAAATGTTTATTCCTCACTGAAGTACCAATAAACCCTTTTCACTCCCTCAGCCACCACTTGGTAGCCCGGGTGTACGAGAGCAAAGCGGAGTTCCGGTCGGCGCTGCAGCACGAGAAGGAAGGATACACCATCTACAAAAACCAGGTAACGAGCTCGGGCTGCTCATCGGTGTCCTGAGCGGTTCTGCTGCAGAGCAGAGCTGCAGCTTGGACCTTGGGGGGGCTTCTCTCACAAGGCTCTGAGCAGACACCAGAGAACCTTCTTGGGATGGGGTTCCAAAAAAATTGACCAGATTTTATTCCAAAAGTCTTTGAACAGCCCTTCTGCAAGTGTGTTCTTGCTGTCCCCTGTCTCTGCTGGTGGTGGCTCAGCACCAAAAGAGCTGGTCTTTCTTCCCACTCTTTGCACCATCCGCCTCCCAAATCCCGGATCCAAACCCGTCGGGTGGTTGAGCTGTTTCGGGGCAGCACCTTCTCCCGCTCGCAGCCCGTGCTGCTGCAGTGAAACTCCTGCTGCTGCCCGGGGTCTGTCTGGACACGTCGGCAGCAGCGCGGGGTGATTCAGCGCCGTCTCGGGAAGCGCAGCCTGGCCAGGGAGCGCCGCTGGCCCCGCGGACGTGCTCCTACTTGAGGGAAATGCGTAATGTTGATAGTAAGGCTCCCAGAGGAATTCTTGTTTGTTTGTTTTTGGAATGCCAGGGCAGGTGAAATCCAGTTCTGCTGAGTTTCTGCAGGGTGTTGAGGTGGCAGAGACGAGGAGTGCGCCCCGGTCGGGTCTATTTCGGATTTGTAACGTTGCACCTTGTTTTTTTGGGATTAGCTTGGAGAACACCATGAAAAGACCAAAGAGAGCTCTGAGTACTTGAAATACCTGACTCAGCAAGCAGTCGCCCTTCAACGCACAATGAACGAGATCTACAAGAACGGCTCCAACGCCAACATCATGCCCCTCAAGGTAACCCACCCCCTGCAGCGAGCGCAGCCGCGGGGACTTGAGGGCAGAGATTTGCGTGTGGCTGCTCCCGAAGGACAGCGGGAGACCTGGGCAGGAGCTGGGGAGGGCAGTGGTGGTTACAGCCCCTCCACGCGTGGGAGGTCCCTGCAGAGGCTCAGACAGACACAGCAGGGTGCAGACTGAGCTGGTGTCCCCTCTGGGCTCAGGCTCTCTCCCGAGCCGGGGCGCTGGGCGGCGCGGGAGCCCGGGACACCGACGCACAGACCTGCCCGGGGCTGACTCACTGGCTGTGGGCAGGTTGCTCAATCCCAAAACACTTCAGTTTCCTCATCCTAAAAGGTGCTGTCATCCTGCACCGGGCGCTTTGTTCTCCTTCCAAGGGTTTGGTGGGGGGGGGAGCGGGGCAGGGGGGCTTCTACACGGAGCCCTCGTGGGCCAAACCCGGCTGCTCTTCTCCAGGCACCCGGCCCTGCTGGGACCCGGGGGGAAGGAGCTTCCAGCCTCAGAGAAAGGGCTGAGCTGAGGGTGGGTTTCTGCTCACTGCTAAAAACAGGGCACGGAACTGGGCACAGAGTTGAGGAATTTATGGCAGCCTAATTTGAGAGTGAGGAACTTGAATGAAGTAGATGATCAAGTCCAGGAAACGGTGTCCAGCAAAGAGACTCAACCCCATGAAATGGTAATAAAGATGTTACCCTTGTTACAACACTTGAAGGAGGTCAGCAGAAACCCCAACCCGTTTTGAAGGGACACACACACTGCATTTAACTGAGTCCTGCAGAGTCCAGAGGGGACTCACTGGGGAGCTCTAGATGCTGCTTTTCAACTTAGAGGTATAAAGATGTAGATGAATAATGCCACCTTCCCAGCTATTAGTGTGTCAAACGAGACCTAGGGTTTTCTAAACTGTTGGTAAATGGTGTCTGGACTCACTTAGGAACTCTGAGTTCTTCTGTCTGGGTTTTGACTTGTAAAACTTATTTTTTTTTCCCCTCTTACACCATAGTTCACGGCTCCCAGTATGGCCAGTGTCCTGGAGCAGCTCAACATTATCAATGGAATTCTCTTCATTCCACTAAGGTACAGTGATGCTCCTTGTGTTGTACCTCTAGAAATCAAGTAGATTTTTTTTTTTTAATTATCTTTGGTCCTGAGATACCCAAATGCTTCCGATAGCATTTGGAGCCACTGACCCAAAATGGGGAGTTTCCAGTGATCGTAGGTACCTCTTCAGCCAGCACTGGGCAAGTTGAAAAGTTGATTGGGGTGGTGGAAAGATGGCCTGAGCTGAGACAGTATTCTTTTAAGGTTATTAATAATCACTGATGGCAAACATTCCTCACTGCCCTGGCCCTGCGTGGCCGCTGATGGGTCACGTCCTGGAGCCTCTTGGTCCAAAACCAAAGAGCAGCCCCAGCCCCGGGCCCTGGGAGGCGGCAGGAAGGGGGCAAGTGCTGGCAGCGTCTCCAGGTCCCCGTGGTTCCCAGTGCCCCCACAGCCAGGCTAACGTCTGCTCCCCTCTCCCCTTCAGCCAAAAAGACTTGGAGAACCTTAAAGCAGAGGTGCAGCGGCGCCAGCAGCTCCAAGAAAGCATAAAAAGTGGTGAACAGCTGGAGCCCGAGGACAAAGCTGTGGAGGAGAAAGAGGCTGAGCCGAGCATGCCTTCTGCTGAGATCCCTGTAACACAGAGCTCTGCTTAATGTACCTCGCTTAAAAACAAAACAAAAAACAAAAACAAAAAAAATATATAAAAAAAAGAAAAAAGTTTAAACCACCCTTTTCTGAATCTGACCCAGGGTCTGGGACTCCCCTGGAGCAGCTCCTCCTTTTTTGACAATGTTATTGCACTGGTACAATTAATACACAATGCAAAGAACTAATCTGAGAAATGTACTGTGTCTGCCTGAGCTGGTGTCAGCCCCACGGGGGCCGGTGGCCGGGCCCCAGCCCCGCTGAGCGCAGCCGGGGGGGGCCCTGCGTGTTCGTGTCGTGTGTGTGCGCATCATCAGTGATTTCTACTTTGTACATATGAATTCCAAATGAACTGTCCGGAGGTGTGTAACATTTCTCAGGTCATTTTTATGTTGACTAAGGACACTGCTTTGCTAAACCCCTCCAGAACCAGCCCACACCCCGCTCAGCTTTCCCCTAAGAGATGAATTCCAAGCCAAAAGCTTTCTTCCCCCCAGCCAGGATCCGGTCTGTGTGAGGCCGACGCAGCCATAACCCTGTCGCTGTGCCCTGGGTGGGAGTGGGGGGATGTACAGCATTTTCTACATCAGGATAGAGCCATTGGATTCCTTTCACCATTTTTTCTACTTTTGGTTGGCAGTTTGGCAATTCAGTGGGGTTTTGTAACATTCACATTCTAATTTTCAAGGTAAAGATATAGCTAGAGAGAGAGATATATACATATATAAATATATATATATATAAAAAGAATGCTACTCCCCGTTGCAGCTCTGCCCTGCTCGCAGCCGAGCGCTGAGGACGCTGCACCCAAAGAGTCAGGGCTTTGATGGCTGCAAAGCGCACAACCGTCCATTGCGATGGAAACCCCAGTGCCTCGGAGACTGGTAACGGCACCAAACGGGGCTGGGCCACTGATTGAGCAGGAAATCCTGGCCCTATTAAAAGGGGGGGGAGAAAGAGTCAGAAACGGGGCCGTGGTCTGATTGTAACACGGAGCTGACGGACTGGACCCGGCCGGGCACCGGGACCCAGACTGGAATCAGACATTTCCCACAAATTACTGAGCTTTGGGGAGGGGATTTAAATAAAAGCTAAAAACTCCCACAGCACTGCAACCTCTGGCTAAGAGCTTCTTAATTAACTGGGGTTTTGCACACTGGTTTTGAGATTGGTGCCAGGGGCGCGTCCATTGCTGGCAGTGGATGTTACACTGAACAAATCCCTGTGTCCCCTCCCCGTCACACGCGTCCCGGGGGGGTGACCAACGCGCGTGCCCTCCCCTGCCCCCCCCGGGCCCAAAGCTGCTGAGATGTGGCCCCTGCAGCCGCGGTGACGCCGACAGAGGTGAATGTCCCTCTTTGCAAACAGCCCTTCGCTGGCCAACGGGGCCGGTCGCTGGCCCATTGGCCACCCTGTGCCACCAGAGTCCTGTCCCCCCCCATCTCCTCTGTCCTGGATAGACCCTGTGCTAATTCGCGTTGCTTTTACTGACCTGCTGGAGAACAAGTGCTGTCACTGTGCTCTGTCCCCTCCGTCCCCGTGCGGCGTCACAGGGATCTGTAACGGGGGGGATAAGGGAAGGGGGAGCAGCCTCCGAGCTGCCAGAGGCAACAAAGCAGGAGGAGTCTTTACTGCAAAAGAACTTGCTCCTATTAGAAAAAAATTCTGAATTTCCTGGAAAGCAATCAATAAATGACTACAGTGCATCTTTCCTACAAGATTTTTCTTTTACTAGTGTCTTTCAGTCCATTAAAAAAAAAAATTAAACTATTTTAGGTACCTTTATTTATTGGTTTCCCTACCAATAGATACTGTGAATCTGAACCCCATCACCTGGGGAGAGCAGGTTCGGATCAGCTGGAGGCTGCCCAGCCTGTGACCATCCCGAGGGGCTCTGAGCCCCTTCATCTCTCCTCTACCTGCAAACACCCCGTCGCTGTGCCCAGCACACACCTCCTGCCTGATACTCTGGGTTGGGGGGTGCAGCCAGGTCGTTTCAAGGGCAGGGGCTGCCCTGTGGCCTCTTGGGCTCTCCTGGAAGGGGCTGTGGTCCCTGGGCCACCTCTGCTCTGTGCACCCTTTTCCTCTAACAAAGTGTCCCCCCGTGGGCAAGGAATCGACTCCAGAACATCAGTAATAAAACTAGTGCCAGACTCACAAACCCAGCACCCCAAACCCCAGGGGAGCGGGTGCCACCCCCTCTGGCTGCTTCACCCTCACCCACTCCTGCTGCTCCCTCTCGCTGCCCCGGGGGCTTTCACCAACACACGGGATGAAGCTGAAGGACACAAATCCCAGCTAATGGGGCTCCTGAGCTGAATTCCATCCTTAGTTGTTAAATAACTGCATTTAACACAAGTTCTGTAATTCTCTACCTGGATATTCCCATCTTTCCAGCACTCGCTGCCATCACACCCCACAGAGGCTACAGCTGTCTGTGAAGGAACAGTCACTGGTTGAACCTTCAACTGCACTCAATGCTCATCCTGGGCAGAGACACCCACGTGACCCACAGCACCGACTGCCCCACACTGACCTGGCACAGGGAATGTCTTTGCATACCCAATCCCATCTGCTGAAAAATGATTTAATACCCACCAGTGCTGTAGCAAAACTGGAACCAACTGGTGAAAACCAGTCTCATTCGCTTATGGAGCTGCTTTCCATAAGGCACGTGCTGCACAATGCACTGAGTCGATGGGGAAAATGAAATTCCTCAGCACCCCAGAGTGCTCTTACCACACACGGACACCCCTTAGCACTCCCTGGGGATCAGGTACTGTCTTTGCAAATGCAGTTTTTCCTTCCAAACCAACACCCCAGCATTCGACACACCCCACCTCTGGCACTGCCTGGAATTCAGCTGGTTTGTCAAATGAGAGTCAGGCTCCCCCAGCAGCCCCCCAGATCAGCCACTACCACCAGGCAAGACACTTACACAGAACACGGCTGGAAGGAGCTTTGTTTTCATTCTCTCCCCATTTCAAGGTCACAGCCACGTCCCTGCTCTGCCCTCCCTGCAAACAGCCCCGGTTTCACTCACTGACCCAGTCACCAGCAGCTCCCGGCAATGAAGGCCAGACCAGGGGACACAAACACACCAACACAGCACCGCTACGGAGACACAACCTCCCGGAGCCCTTCGGTGCCCCAACCCCCCTCTGCCCCCCCAGGCTCACCCCTCTGCCCCCCCAG